ACACAAATAATAAAACTTCACATAAAATATATGCTGTGAAATATAACAAGTTAAGACACTGAAAAATAGGGACCAGCAGGTGGTATAATGGTTTTATCAATGGACTCCCACATGGCCTACCACAGTTCAAGTCCTGGACCTGGTAGCTTGAAATTCATGATAGGCATGTGTGCATGTGTGCCCAAAATCCCAAGAGAAGAGTGGAGGAGAAGGGACTACAGTGTGGCCATCTTCCTGGGAGCGTAGTGTGTGATTTCGCACTCTGTCTCTCCGGTAAGTGCATACACCCTATAGAAAAATCTCTCTTAAAAAAAAGTTACTAAGATACGAAATTATAGAGTTCAAACACAAATCCTGCTTCATTCTCACTTCATTTGATTTCTATTGCATTCCAGATGCATCTTATACAAATGGTTCCAGAAGTCTGGTGGTTTTCTTTATTTTGAGAGCTGAAGTGGCAATGATTGAACACTCTGCCTTTTCTTTGATAATAAAAAGTATGATCTGTGAAAGAGTGATACAAATCTAGGAAAACTACACAATAAATTATTCAGATTTTAGATTAAGCTAACTTACGGCAAATCTCCTTCATGTTACCAGTATGAAGAATGAAGCTTACTGGATAGAACAGTAACACTGAAAAATAGGGACCAGCAGGTGGTATAATGGTTTTATCAATGGACTCCCACATGGCCTACCACAGTTCAAGTCCTGGACCTGGTAGCTTGAAATTCATGATAGGCATGTGTGCATGTGTGCCCAAAATCCCAAGAGAAGAGTGGAGGAGAAGGGACTACAGTGTGGCCATCTTCCTGGGAGCGTAGTGTGTGATTTCGCACTCTGTCTCTCCGGTAAGTGCATACACCCTATAGAAAAATCTCTCTTAAAAAAAAGTTACTAAGATACGAAATTATAGAGTTCAAACACAAATCCTGCTTCATTCTCACTTCATTTGATTTCTATTGCATTCCAGATGCATCTTATACAAATGGTTCCAGAAGTCTGGTGGTTTTCTTTATTTTGAGAGCTGAAGTGGCAATGATTGAACACTCTGCCTTTTCTTTGATAATAAAAAGTATGATCTGTGAAAGAGTGATACAAATCTAGGAAAACTACACAATAAATTATTCAGATTTTAGATTAAGCTAACTTACGGCAAATCTCCTTCATGTTACCAGTATGAAGAATGAAGCTTACTGGATAGAACAGTATTTAAGAGAATACCTGGATTTACTCTCTGTGTTTAGTGACTTTGTGACAGTAAGCAAGACACATAACCTGTTCTCAGTCCTAGTTTGTTCATTTAAAAAGTGAAATAATAATAAAAAATGCATCTCAAAGTGCAAGATGTACACTACCAATAGCACTCAAGATAGCTGGTGAGTGATGAAACTTTTTATTTTAAATTTCAGCATTGCTTATTTTAATGTGTATGAAAATTATATAGAAGTACTATGTGAAATAAAAAATGTAAAGAGGCAATTTCTCAGGACAAACCTAGGCACCACTAGAGAAGGAGAGAAAGAATCTCTCTTTTTCACAGAATAGTTCTTTTTAGTTGTATGTTGAAATCCATTTCCATGAATATGAACATTCGAAAAACTGTGAAGTTGCTTATAAATGTTGGGAGCAGAGCCTTAGAGTTCATGTGAATTATGTCAAAATTCAAGGAAAAAGGGAGAGAACAGTCACAAAGTATTTAGCATAGTGGACTATATGAAGCTCTCAATAATCATTGGTATTATTTTTTCCTAATGACTTATTATTGCCATATTACCACAATGCTAATAAACCAAACATGCTCCACCCTAGCAGAAAAGAAGTTTATAGGTACCTGTATGTAATTCATCATCTCTTACTTTACAAATAATTTACAAATAAGATATAACAAAATATAAAGAACAAATAAATTAAGGAAAAAGGGATGGGGAGGGAGTTCACAGGGGACAAATGAGCAAGAAAATGATAAAATTAGGAACGCGTACCAATTACCATAAGAAAATTTTGTAAAATGATGTATGTTGCAAGGACACTTGGGCTAAGTGAATGTACCTATGAGATTTGGGAAATTATCACACTGAGTAAATAGCATCTATACCATATCCTTAAATTCCTCAAATGTCTCACAACATTTGAAACAAGGAAAACAGTTTTTTTTTATTTTAAAATTCTAACCAGTGAAGTAGTACATATGACTGTAAAGTAAGACTAAAAATTTTCCTTATAATTTTATTGTTTTTTCCTAAATAGTTTAAAATGTTAGTCTTTTCCCAAAAAGAAAAAGGTAATATTAACAGTTTACATTGATTTGATATTTTCCTCTTCAATGCATGTGTTTCCTATTTAATTACAATTGTAGTTAATATTTTCCTATAGGTAGTATTTCTCAGGAAAATACATATTTAGCATTTGAGGAATAAATATTCTACATTTTGTTCAGAACATAGAACGTAGTTTAAGTATTTTGGCATTCCAATTCTGATCACAAATAAATCCTAAATTGCCTTATACTATAGGCAAAAAATTTAGCAGTTTATCAAAAGATATGTAACATCAAACTTTAAATCCTATGTCTTCAGTCATAGCAAGACAAAATTCTATAGTATCCAATAATTCTTATGTCCAAGAGTGAGTTGGAGACAGACTGGGTGAAACTGGTGAAACTTCAAATATCGGTAAGCCATATGGCAGCTAAGCTCATCTAAACTTTCACTCTGATAGCTTATTAAGAATCTTTTTAAAAAATTAATTTTTATTTACATTTAATCATTGTACATCTTTACAGTGTACTATATGGTTTTTCTAACTCTGCATGCATGCATGGTAAGAATTTCTTACTCCCAAAAGAGGGCTAAGAGCCAATGAGCAAGGTACATTCTCAGGATTAGGGAGAAGGCTTAGAAATGCTTCCTCTTTAGTATGGTTAACACATGCTCAGTGATACTGGCTGTCTTCAGAGAGTCATAAGAAACCCACCAATGATAATATAGGTGCTTCTCAAGAACTCAAATATAGTTACTGAAAATTAACCGAAAAGAGATTTTTCTACTTCTTGCTTGAAAGGTGTAATATGACTATAATTATAAGATAGTATAGTAAGAGGGAACCAGCAGTTAGCGTAATGGCTATGTTGCTGGACTCCCATGTAGTCGACCGCAGTTCGCGTCCCAGACCTGGTGGCTTAAAACTCACGCGGGGTGCGTGTGCGTGCGTGCCCAAGATCCCAGGAGGAGAATGGAGGAGAAGGGATTGCGGCGTGACCATCTTCCCTGGGGAGTGATTTCTCGCTTTCTGTCTCTATGTCTCTGTCTGGCGAGTGCACGCGCCCTATAGCAAAAATCTCTCTCTCTCAAAAAAAAAGATAGTATAGTAAGAAAAAATCATAAAGTGCTCCTTTACTGAGGTGAATGTACCTGATAAAGAAAGCTAATTTCTGTAAAAACAATCAAGCTAATAACTTTAAAGAGCTTCCAGTGGGATCAGCAGATGGCATAATGGTTACATCACTTGACTCCCACGTAGTTGACCAAAGTTTGAGTCCTGGATCGAATCCAGTGACTTAAAACTCATCCCAGGAGTGGGATCAGCAGTTGGCGTAATGGCTAGTCACTGGACTCCCGTGTGGTCAACCATGGTTCGAGACCCACACCTGGTGGCTTAAACTCACGCATGTGTGTGTGCCCAAGATCCTGAGAGGAGAATGGAGGAGAAGGGATTGCAGCATGGCCACCCCCCTGGGGGTGCAGGGGCAGTGACTTCTAGCTTTCTGTCTGTCTTTCTGGTGAGCGCACATCCTACAGCAAAAAATTCTTCAAAACAAACAAACAAACTCATGCCAGGAGCATGTGTGTACATGCCCAAGATTCCGAGACGGAGAATGGAGGAGAAGGGATTGAGGCATGGCCATCCCTACCCCACCTCCCTGACGAGGGTGATTTCTCACTCTCTGTCTCTCTGGTGAATGCATGTGCCCTATAGCAAAAATCTCCCAGGGGAAAAAGAAAGAAAAGAGTTCTAGCTCTGTCAAATTATTTACTGAGTTACCATCATCAATGATTGTCCTGGCATTATGAAATATTCTACCTATTTTGATCTTTGGCATTCACTGAATATGCTTCTTCATTAAACAGTACATAACATTCTCTGATCAATAATCTTACAAAATAATAAGAAATAATTAATTTCCAAAAATGATGCCTGTTCTAAGATTTCACATTTTAAATATAGCAACATTTCTCTGAGTCCCAAATGAATTTTAAAAAATTCTGTGTGAGTACTAAAATAAACTGACAATTTAACTATGTAGAATATGTAATATCTAACATGTTTTCTTGACAAAAGCACACTTAATCATATTATAAATGAATTTACCAAAATCTTGCTAATAAAGTTGAAAATTAAGTTTCTATTTAATATGGTTTACTGTTTTTAATTTTCTTTTTATGTCATAGTTAAGGGACTAAAACAAAAATGAGATGACATTTTACAACATAAATTCAGATTTGCTTGCTAGCCATAAACCACAAACATTATTGTTATTAAGTTTTAATAGTAGAATTTGTTATAAAATCCAATAGTCCAACACAAAACTAGTTTTTCTATACAATATTTTTTATCTTCAGAAAAGAAAAACTAGCACATGGCTATTATCAAGATATAAGATTGAAACAAATTTAGGACTCACTATTATTAAAGAATCCTTATAATATATATTCCATTAAGCTATCACTATTAATCTTGTTTTTATTTTTAACCACTTAACTTTGAAACATATTATATATAGTATAAACTTTCCTCTGAAATATCTATGATTATTATAGAATTTAGAAGTTTTCCAAAAATCTGACAATTATAAGAGGAAATTGATAGCAGAACATGTCAGAAACAGGGCACTTGGCTTTATTCTTGCAGAAATGACATAGTGAACACTTACATTCTAATAAGCTCAAAGGTATAGCAGAGGTCTGTTGAAAGAGCATGCTGATAAGTTTTGTACTTACTTTGGAGAGGCAATGAGTTTCTAATATGCTGTAACTCGAGTTCCTCAGCCCATTCCATCTTTGGCAGGATCTCTGAAATCTCACAATTATCATTCTCTATCATGGACACTGGCTGACCGTTGATGGGTGTCCTTCTCAAATCCTTCACATGTTGTTGAACTTCCGCCAAGAGAACAGCTTGTATTGCTTCAGTTACCTGTAAAGTATTTTGTGTTTGTTTTTATGAAATTCTTTTAGTATTATGACAAATGCTTGACAGTCGTAAATTTTCTTCTCGTGATACTTAGGTGCCAATAGTGTCACAAGGCCTCAAAGTCCCCTCTGAGCCTTGCCGGTGGCTGCCACTTGGAACAACCATCTCCCACTATGCATCACCATTACATAATGCCAAGGACCACTGTCCTCCGGGGTCTTTAGTGCACCTAATTCTCCCTTCCTTGTATATTTCACTGTGTCTTATGAATAATAAATAAATGTTGCTGTGTTCAATGTCTTAAAAAAATAATCCAAAACCTGAAATTTTAATTTAAACAGGTTTTCCACAAAGGATAGCAGTTCGTTCCACTACGATTGGCATCTCAAACAATTGTAAACTGGATAGTGAGAACTCACCCCAAACTCTCACACTGTTCTTTTGCAAATGGAAGACATCCTAAAAGGATACTTGAGGGGCTAGCATGTGGTATGGTGGTTAAGACACAGGATCCCACATGGCCAACTCTTTAAGTCCTAGATCAAGTGGCCTGAAAACACACTGGGCACACGTGTGTGTGTGTGCGAGCCTCAAATCCTAAGAGGAGTATGGAGGATAAGGGATTGTGGTATGGCCATCACCCTGGGGAGTCATTTCTCACTTTCCCTCTCTGTCTCTCTCTGGGGAATGCACAAACTATAGAAAAAAGTAAAAAAGATACTTGGTAGGAGTTTTTGATTATTTCTCCTAAGTAAGCTATTTTCACTTTTTTTCAGAAGATAAAGGAAATTTATTTGAATATATCATAATACTCTTAAAAACAAGTTTAGCTTCTTAAACCATGTCTAACTCTAAAGTACATTTAGGTAAAAATATTGAATTTAAACTATGCTTAATACACAAGGTTAAAGAAAGGACTTTAATAATTAATCTCACTAAACTGAGTTCATATATACGCAGTTTTACAGAGATTAAAATACTGCAAGGTGCAGTTTCCAAGTGTTGTGTGCACCCAGTCAAAGATCCATGGAAGGGGAGAGAATACTTATGACAGACCATCTAATCAAGTATCTTCTGACCCCTGATTCTATGTTCTTCACAGCACACATCCATCCTAGATTATGCTCCCCTACCCTTCCGTTCAAAGTTAATGAGTCTGATTAAGTCTCTCTGGCAAGGGATGATGCAGGTCTAGGAGTTTGATAGAACCCAAGGAAATTCAGGAGCTAAATTAGAGAGAGAAAAGGAAGGATTGCTGCTGATCTTGGCACACTTCGGAATCCTTCTCATCACCCTTCTCTGGTCGACATTTAGAGTTTCCATATTGTCATGTCTGAATGCCTGTCCCATTTCCCTTCCAAAGCCTGCCCTCTGTCAAGATGACCCATGCTCCCCAAGTGCCATCGCCCCCTCTCCATTACTCCTAGTCTATACATACGGATGCCTAGAACTAGGGATTTGGGACAACTCCAACTAAATGTTGTGGCCAAAGCCAGAATGTACATTCATTTAAACATGTATTTAGTCTCTTTTGTGTGTCACTGTGGCATGTGGGACCTTTAAGTTCTATGAACACCCAGGGAGCTTTTGCTAATGGCACATGATCACTGAACAACTGGGGCAGAGGAGCTGGGGCCCTGACTTTTAAATACAGGGAGTTTCCCAAGAGTATTGAAGTCCTTTTCTGATCCCTGACTGTTGTCCTGGTCAGCTCACACTCAAATGTTGATTAGGCAATAGAAAAGGCTAATGAATGGTAAGGTTTTACTATGGTTTACCTTGTATACTAACACGCAGGGACCAGCAGTTAGAGTAATGGCTATGTCGCTGGACTCCCATGTAGTCCACTGCGGTTCGAATCCTGGACGCAGTGGCTTAAACTCATGCTGGGCGCATGTGCGTGTGTGCCCAAGATCCCAAGAGGAGAATGGAGGAGAAGGGATTGCAGCATGGCCATCCCCGCCTGGAGAGTGATTTCTCGCTTTCGGTCTCTCTGTTTCTCTCTGTCTTTCTGGCGAGCACACGCGCCCTATAGTGAAAACCTCTCAAAAAAAAAAAAAAAAGAAAAGAAAAGAAAAAAGAAAAACATGCAGTAGTGCCTGGACAAGTAAGTAAGGCTTACTCATGAATATCATGTGATGAGACATTAAGCATTATAATACTTATTATATGTCATGAATCTAACATGCAATACTTCATAAGGTAAACAGTGTAATAAAGAATTTGAGAATTGATTACTGAAGCATACAGATACTGCAAAAGTCTTTACTGTTCCTGAATGGCCTAAGAATTCTCATTTCTACTTTATGTATGAGGAAGATAAATAAGCAACACGTTAAACTCAGCTTCCGAGTCACGCATCAGGCACGATGTATGATGTATTCATGTAAGGTGATAAAATCATAGAACCCTAAAGGTCCATTAGTTCAAATGCATCCAAACTAAGTTAAAATTTATTTAAAGGTAAAATGAATAATTACAAAATATCTTTAGAGTAGAGTAATTCCTGAAATGTGAATGTGCTGTTGAAAACTTTTCCTTAAACTTTTTTTTCACACTGAGTAACTTTTCAGTTACTGGTGTTAAGGCAGGTGTAATAAATCATCTTTAATAGACTCTTTGGAAATTACTGCTAATGTCCTGGTAAAATAAGCATGTGCAGGCCAGCCTGTGGCCTGGTGATTAAGGAAGCTGGATCTCACATGACGGACCATGCAGTTCATGTACTGGACACAGAAACTTGAACAATACACCAGACACATGTGTGCCTGTCCCAAATCCTGAAAGACGGAACAGATGGAGGAGAAAGGATTGTGGTATGACCATGTTCCACTGGGAGGTGCTTTTTCCCTCTCTGTCTCTTTGCTTCTCTCTAGTGAGCACATGTACCGTATGGTAAATTAATTTTTAAAAATCTGCATGTGCCAGTGTTTATTTTGATTAAACAGAGGCTGTATGCATAGAGATTCATTCACTAACTACCAACTAGTTACTTGCCACTATCCTTTTTGCAGGCCCTGGTGAAAATGTAGCCGGTGAGATGAACAAGGCCCTTGCTTTTGGTAATCTTATAACAGCAAGAACACAGAAAACAAGTAAGCAAAGAATCAAATGATATCATTTCCATTGAAAGCAATCACAACACAGAAAATAAAACTGGGTAATATGATGGTGCCTGGAGGTGTGAGGTGGGATAGGGCATGATGACAGTGTTCAATAAAGTCATCAGGAAAGTCTTCTCTAAGGAGGTAGCTTCTGAGCAAAGACCTGGATGATTAATGAAGAAATGGGAATTCCAGTCTGAGAAAATAGTGAAATCCTGAGGTGGAACTAAGTCTTCCTATGTTCTGGAAATAAAAAGGAAGCCAATGTGGCTAGATCAGGGTAAGGTCGGGTGGTGAGGGGATGATGAGGGATGAGGTTAAGCTAGGGAAAATCATGGGGAAACTTAATGGCCACAATAACCTGTTTCCATAGGCATAGTAACTATGTGTTTTGTTTTATAGTGTCAACCTTGAGCATTTATTCTGAGTTAATTTCCTTTGTTTCCCTATAACCAAAAATAACCATTTATTCTTGGAGTTATTTCTATTCTTATCTTATAAATTTGATAGTTATCAAGCTCACAAAGAAGAGTAAAGATCCAATAAACATTCATCTAATCAATGCACAGATATTTATTGTACAATGTACAAAGCTACCAGCAAGCTTTTAGGACCCAAAAGAAGCTTTCCATGAGAAAGAAGGACTTAGATTGGACATTGAAGAAATCAGTTCTCTCAATCAGCTCACAGATGAGGTGCTCTCAGATAGAAAAAAAGACTTCTAATTTCACATAACTAAATCCTCACGTATAGGTACCTTAATGTCATGGCATATTTTGAAATCAAATAGTTGATGATTCTCCTCAAACTAAAATGCTAACAGGCAGGCAAGATGTCAGCTATGGCATCAAGAACCTCAGGCCCTACCCTGTTGTACTCTGCTATGTTATCTTCCACATCTTTCATCTCTGTCTCTGGTTTAGGACAGTTAAAAGAAATGTCCTCAGAGGGCATTCCATAAGGACATGAGTAAATACTTGTGATTCCAGGCAAAGGGAGTATCAGTGAATCATAGTAGCAAACAATTCTTCCAGTATTCATGTTCCAAGAACATGAACTGTATCATACCTGTACAGACTGGTCTCTCCAGCAGGAAATTAGTTTCAAAAGTGAAAGGTCAGCTTCAGGTATACGGGATTCATTCTTACCTAGAAATGTACAGATATATTTATTTCTGGAAAGTATTAAAAATGGATGTGCCCAGTAGTCCTTCACCATGACTGTGCCATAGAATCACCTGAGGAGTTTTTAAATGAATTTTAAAAAATGAACACTAATACCCAAATTCAATTTCCCAGAGATGCTAACTTAATAGATTGCAGGATAGGGTTGGGAAGGCATTAAATTTGTAAAAGTACCTCAGATAATTTTCATATAGAGCCAGAGTTAAGAACCATTACTCTATGTACATTGATGCTCTACTTCTAACAGGTATGCAAACAAATAATCACATCAAATCAAATTCACTTTTACCCCTTAAACTCACCCCTGTACCCCAAATTTTACAATTCATTCCTCAAACAAATAGTTCCTAAAATTCTAACTTACCATGAGTCAGTACCTAGCAAGTGTAAAATCAAAGACTTCCTTTGGTTTGTTCTTACCCAGCTATCCCACTCTGATCAAAAGTATAGCACTACTGTTTTAATTTGATTCATTCTGCTTTGCACTGTGTCTTTTAAGTTTGCCCTCTTGAACATGCTTTCTAGCTATTTGCCTTATTGTTCAGTGTGAAATTTTAAGAGTGAGCTAGGGCTTGGTCTATTTAAAAAGATCCAAAGAGTTTCCAGCAGTCCCCTACACAAAAAATATTTAATGAATGCCTTTTCATTAATTGAAAATATACATATAGTCATCCTAATGGAAAAAAAACACAATGGATTAAGATCTTCTGATGGCTCAAGTATATTCTCTAGGTTCCAGATCCTAGGATTGAAATAGAGAAGAAAGACAAGGGCTTGCACTGGTGGAAAAATTGTTACTATAATTGTCTATTTAAATCAATGTATTAGTATATGTTTGCCATCTGGTAGCAACTATTTAAATTAGCATTTGTCCAACTTTTTTTTTCTTTGAATCACTGTTTTATATATTAATATCTGATAATAGGTACCCACACATATAAATGTATATACATACATATATTTGACCTATCAGTAGTCGAGGAAAATGTGATAGAAAATATGGGATATAATGTAAATTGAGAACATGAAGTAAATATATAAGAAATATCTGACCAGTTGTTAATATCATTATTTTTTCCTGATGGAGCACGTAACGTGAATTTCAAACCACTAAGGACAGTGCATAAAACATGTAAGTATGATAGAGCACTGCAATTTTGAAGTCATATTTTCCATTTCTGCATGAGCACAGCAGGTAAGAAAAGATTTCCTTTTGATCTCCTTCCTTTCTCACTCTCTCACTCTGTTGACCTTGTGACTCAACCATCAAAGCTAAGTATTGGTCTCTCCACTGTAACTACTTACTGGCATCGTGGGGTCCTTCACAGCACACTTTAATGTGATGTTAAAATTTTAATATGAGCTAGAAATGAGAGCCAACTTTTCTTGGCAATGTCAGTGAGTTAAAGAATTAATTGCAACTTCAGGGGAAAAAGATGAAAAGAAAACATCCCAGGCTGACCAAGTTTGCTTCGCCACCATTCCT